CATGCAACACTAGGCTGTTGCAGTTGTCATTCTTCAGTGCTTCTGCTTAGTTGCAGAAGACCTTGCAAGCATTTCTTTTCTTCTGAGCTTAACCAACAATTTTCATATATTTGGTCCTGAAATAACGTATGTATGAACAGAGGGAATAAATGGCATTTTAATGTGTTTCCCTGAAGAGGAGCCAGATTTTCTATCATACGGGGGAGAAAAAGAAGCTGCATGGTTAAGACAACTGACCACTGTTGTCAAAATTCACATGCCGTTGGGAGTATAAAATACAGGCTTTTACAGGCTGCTTCAGTCTTATCTTCTGTCTCTCCTTTCCTGCCTGCCCTGCCCCCATGGTTTTGGTAGACATTCAGCTGCTGCATGTTTGTCATGTGGCCAGCCCCCCAAATTTATCTTTCTCATATGGCCAAATAACTTCATCCCCGTGGCAATTTGCTTGAATAAAGAGCCTGGCGAATGCAGTGAAGCCTGGGGGTACAGCACGAAAATCAGCGGTTGCTTCGGTGAGCAATTACGCAGTGAAACAGCTATCGGCTAGAGGAAGAGGTGGCCAGGCTTTCATAGCCGGATGAAAACCTTCATCCATGGAATTCCCTATGTAATATAAAGCTTTCACAGTATAGAGCACCTCTGATTACAAATGTATGTGGTGTTTAAAATTAGTATCAATTTTTACTGAAAGACAGTTTCTTAATACTGCTGATTCAAAGCACTAACGTTTGTGGAATGATGTGCATAGAAATGAGATCAGGATGCTTTTGTTGATTCCTTCAGCCTGGTATTCTGACTTGTGCCGGTTCTTTAGCTGTGGTTGTAAATTGCCAATGGACAGAATTTATTTGGCTTTATATTTATCAAAGCTGTATTTTTATCTGGAACATAGCATTAGGCCAGATTCCTACTATACACATAGGAGACTGGGTGGTTTTACGGGTTACATCAGAAGCACCACTATCTTTTGGTGGGTATTGTGTGTGGTTCGTATGGAGGAGTAATGTTTGTCATCTTATGTGGAATTCTGTACATGTCTGAATATGAGTCTGTGTGAATTGATAATGATCTTGCCCTGGAAAACTGGGAATAATGCAGAGTTCTAGAGAAAATAAATAAACCACATACTAAAGTCCTCCCAAGTTAAAGCTTCCACACAGTTTCAATGATTTGTTTTTATAGATTTGATGTGATAGTTCATGAAAACAGTTTCCAGCTCCATCTGTCCGGCTGTAGACAGTTATTTAGATATTCACTGGCATGTCTTTTGTATGGCTTTAGAGATGGGATTGGGGCTGCAAGTAAACGTAGCTCAGCTGTTGACTTGCACGCCTGGCACTCTAGCATCTTTGCGCTTTGACATGTGTGTTAGAACATAGCAGGAGCAATCACTCCGTCCTTCAGAGGTGTGGTCCAGGCTGCCAGTCCTCTTTCAATGACCTCCTTTGGCAGGTACATATGGGAGTTGAGAAATTCCCTCATTAAAAAGCTGCATGTGTCATAATACTGATGGGACTAGAACAAAGCTAGCTACCTCTCTTGGGACTAGTGCTGTGGTTTTTTTGAGTTCATTCTTTAAATTAAGAAGGTCATTTCATTTTGTGGCTCCATCATATATAAAGATATTTAGGAAAATACAGCGGTATTTTGTAGCTATGGGAGACTTCTTGACTTCTTTGACAGGTGGTGGTAGTTCAATATTCAGACTTGCTCATCTGTTGAATTCCTTTTTCCTGATGGCCCTGTGATGCTTTACAAATTTCAGAGATGTATTTTTTATTTTTTTTTTTAAAAATATTACTAGTGCAGTGGTCTCCAAGCTGAACCATCCCAAAATCACTGCCCTTGCACTGCTCTTACTTGCCCGGCCTGGAGATGGGTCATGTCTCATCAAGTCAAAGGCAGTATCACTCTATTGTTTGCCTTAATCTTATGAGCACAGATACCTGCAGGAAAACCATGTAGCCTTGGTTTCATATGCTGGCAGAAGTCTGTATATTCTTCAGTGTTTATACTTTTGATTGTGTAAATTCCTGATATTGAGGTAGGTTTTCTGCATCTCTGCCATGTAGTATCTAATGTTATGATGTGCTCATGATAAAGGGCTCTTTAATGGTGTAGAAACTAAGTTAATACGGATGCATCCTGCTTTGATCTCAAATTTGCATAAAATAATTTGTCATTGGGGGATGAGCACAAGTCTGCTATTACATTTCTGGATCTTCAGATTTGATTTGAAATACTTATCACAGATTGGGAATGCAGGGCATTCTTTTAAGTATTTTGGTTGGGAGGGTTATTAGATTTAAACTATTTATCATGAAATACCTAAATCTAAACAAAAATAAATGAATGTATGAGGATGTGCAAGGAACTAGATAACGAGCACACTCAGCTTTTAAGGGTAAAGAAGCCACTTAAATAGATTTGAATTGACTATATGCTTGTTGACTGCAGCACAGCTCTCCCAGCATGAGAGACCGTGAAGCGGTACAGGATGTCAAGATTTGAATTTAATACTGGAAATAAAAATACATTATCATTGTACTGAGCTCCATGCACAGTGGTTTTGGGGAAAGCAAGGAACAGGTATACAAGCTGGTCACTTAGTGTGGATTCATATAGGAAGAGAGCTGTTGGATAACTTTTTACTGTACTTGTTAAATATGGTATACTTCTCAAACCTGCTCCTGCAAACAAAATCTTTAGTAACCATGAAGTGGCTCTCAAGAATAAATCTCGTAGTGCTCACATTTATGATCTGTATATGTACATTTTAATACTAGCTCCATGTGTTTTATTTCTTTTTTTTTTTTCAATTCTCTGCTTAAGCTTTTTATTTCACCTTGCTTGTACCTTCTTATGCCTCTGAGGATGGTTTGAAGCTACAGTGAGACTTGAAAGGCAGCTTAGTGACAAGAGGGAATAATGAGTTGGCTCTTAAATGTGTTCAGTTGGTGGTATTTTATAATTAGCTGTATGAACTTTCAGTGTTTAAAATAGGAAATGGCAATTACACAGAACTTTCACTCTTCGATCACATATATACTGCATTTCCATTGTTACTTACAGCTTTAAAGAGCCTCTCTGGAGGGCTGTATATTAAGTAATTAATCTTATTTAGCACTTCATTATGAAGTGTATACAATTAATTGATGACATATAGAAATAATGATCTGCTTAACAGAAATTCAGTTCCTGAGAGCTGACACTAGTTTCCTTTCAAAGTTTTACGCTTGGTTTTGATTATTCTTTTCAAGTTCACTAATTATATATATTTATCTGCCACTTGATCTTCAAAGGCAAAATTGAAATCCAGTTTGTAAGCAAGATAATGCAAATCGATACATAGCTCTTCTTCTTCTGTGCAATTAAACAATCAGAAGTGTGACAGTCTTAATTGTTGCATGTTTGGTACTGTGAACCTGTTTGTAATAGGGTAGATTTAGAAAGAAAATGATTAAACCACAAACAAACAAAAAGCCACTACAAAACCAACAACAAAACCACAAATGGCACCCCACCCCCCATTCTTATGTCTTCTATTAAACATGAAATGTATTTAAACATGCTTAAATATTGCACGTAGCTGAACTATTGAGTGATCTTGATTTACAGCCTGCTGTAATGGTTGGACTCGGGGAATGGTGGGTCTAAGCCAGTTTGTTGTTTCCCTAAGGCTAGCAATTTTTGTGGAAATGTGTTGAGGATCAGCGTTAGCCTGTATGTGCTGACTTAGTTGCTTAGAGAGCTTGTTTGGAGAACAAGTCAGTTGTTCACTCACCTATCACATGTTTAAATGCATTGATTTGATAGTACAACAAGTTTTGAAGTAGGCGTCACTGGGAAATAGGGTTCAAACAGAAAGTAATTCCAGTTTAAAAAATGGGGTGAAGACTAGTGTGTATCAGTAGATACGTTTTGTCTTAGTCTGGTAAGCTCAAATGTGAGACAGTTGGAGGATGCTAAGCATGGAGGCCTTGGGGCCTTTGTGGCTTAGGTGGGAGGAGATAAGTGTGCTTTTGCTTCCAGGAGAGGAGCCTAAATGCAACCCAACTACTAAGGCAGGCCAAGTTTGCTAATCCTGGCTTAGGCTTGGTCACACCAGAAACCCTAAATGCGATTTGTCATTATCTGAAGTCCGTCATGAGACACAGTGGGATGCCTAAAATATGCTTATCCCCAAGGAAAACAATCCCAATTCTGCCACTGGGTCATGCTTGAAGTCCCCATCAGGCCAGTGAAGGTAAGGGCGCAGCTGCATGCCCTGGTTTGGTTTCTTGGGTTCAATGCCAGCTCTTTGGTCTTCACAAGCACTCAATATTCTACATCTCCCTGAAATAACAGGGTCAGGAATAGAATTTGGCTGAAGGCTGCAACTCCGCTCTTTTTATCTAGATCTCCAAAATAGGTCTTTAATTCATCCTGCTAGTAAGTGGCACAACATTCTCTGTTAGTTTAGTACATCTCTGCAGAGGTACCACCATTGTAGTTTTTTTGTCTAACATGTGTCTAGTATTTTCCCCTAACTGTGGTTTGTGAATATAGAAGTATCATTTTCATAACATTACATGTGTGCTGTAAGAACTGGGCTTCTCTTGAGGAAATGCTAATTCACACCAGAAATTTATTGTAGTTCTAATACATGATGTTGTTTGTGTGCAACTGTCCCATGTTTGCCTTTCTTAGAGATACATTTCTCACCATTATATAAAACAAAGGTGACTGTCTTTTAACTATATGTATAAAACCCAAGTATACCTAACATGGGAGTTAGGGTTTGTAATGCCATTGTTGGCTTTTTTCTACGAGACTTATTTTTAAAGTATACTTAACTTACTTAACTTTCTTATGTAATTTCTATGCATACAAACTTAGCTTACATTCGCAGTAGTACATTTGTGAAAGAGCTTAAGGACACCTTTTTTTCCACAAGCGAAGCCTTTTTCTGTTGTATTTTTTGCCTTTTCTGTTCCATAATGAGTTACTTTGTGTGACAGGTGGGAGATTCAAGAAAGAGATAGTAGTTGATGGACAAAGCTATCTGCTGCTGATTAGAGATGAAGGGGGACCTCCAGAGGCACAGGTGAGCATTGCATATATAGAGCTTCATCAGCCTAACACCAGAGTTTCCTTTATTTTAAAAAAAACCTTCCTTAAAGAGAACTGGCTTTGTTTTGTTCTTTCCTGGGTCCTTCTCATCTTTCTGTTGAGTAAATGTATACATTGGCTTTGGGTGAAAAATACTCTGTTTAGAAAATATTTGTGATTTCACTTACAGTGTGAAACCATGTAGTAAAGAAACATACACGGTTAACTTACATTGAATGCCTAATCAATATCCCATGGTGGCAAAGTTGTGTGTTATAGTCATAAGTTTTCTTCTGAGTATGAATCTCTAAATTGTTAAAATACTAAGTATGTGTATTCACAGTGACACATACTTGCGTAGAAATTGTTGTGCTCCCTATTGCTTCCACGTTTTGCTCCCTTTGCCATTGAAGACTCAACTTCGCAAGTTCCAGTTCAAGTTCAGTTCGCTGAGTTCTCTGATTTCTGACTTGGCTTCTGTATTCGGTGTGTTACCTCCTTGTCTAGTAGAAGGTGACCCATCGGGATTTGCCTTTGAGAAGACACTTGTGGTTTTGTGTGTTTAACTCTATTTTGAGTGATGTGAAGTGAAACATTTGCTTAGGGGATGCTTAAATAATCACAGACTCTGCCAGCCTGTCTGCAGGCAGTGTCCTTGTCTTCAGACATCCTCCTTGTCTCCTTGTCTCCTTGTCTCCAAATAAATCTAGCAGACCTGGGCACTGAGGCATTTCTTGAGCTGCTGCTGGCCTTGCTTTGCTCGGCTCTGTTCAGTGGTGGATCAGCTTCCAAAAAAAAAAAAAAAAAATAAATCTAGCAGCAGGAACTGCACTGTCGCCAAACAGCTGAACGGGAGCTGTGCCAGCAGCAGCAGCAGCTTGTGTTTCAATGCTCCACTATTGCTCGTTAGCTGCAGGAGGATTCGAGCATGGGGGAAGGTGCCTGGACAAAGGAGAGTAAAGAGGTGGAGGAAATGTAGACCAAGAGAGACATCCTGGAAGGAAGTTAAAATAAAAACAAAAAATTAGTGTCACTGACACATCTGCAGCCGTGTGAGGCATGAGTCTAAAAGAAGTGCTCTGTTTTAGGCTGTGAATAATTTGGCTGAAGTACACAGCAATTTCCAGGCCCCAATGCTTAGAGAACATTCACTCATATAAAAACGTAAATACTGGAATTATAAAGGTACATGCAGCAATCTAAATATTTTTATATCTGAAGAATTGGTTTTGCAGAGTTCATTCAAATTAACTACTGCGAAGTAATGAACAGACACTGTTTTGCTTTAGATCTATGCTAGGTACTTTTGGGGGTTTTAATTACTATTGCTGAGAGTTGGTCTTCGGCAAATAATGAGTGTGGAAAGGTTTAAGGTGTTATTCATCTTTCAGAAGACATGTTTCACATGTAAGATATTTTGGGTATAACTTCAAGTCGCATGTGTATTAAAAATCTTTAATCTGTTTATTAATTCATGTAATAAAAAGTTTATTCCTGGGTTCATGAATATAAGTTTATAATGAAAATGGAATTTTTCAAAAGAAAAACGTTTACCTCCCACTACTTGCTTATGATACAGAAAGGGTAAGGTTCTGCTTTTTGCAACAGCACAGTATATTTTTGTGGGTAGTTGGGTGGGATAGAATTACAACTTCAATAAGTAACAAGCTGAACCAGGGTCTTCCTGACCCTCAGCAGCAGGGGGTCAGGGAGAGTCCCCAGTTAATGTCGTCTTTGCTTCAGTGCAAAGAAGGCCACAGCTCAGGTCTCAGTTCACTGTCCCCTTTTTTTGGCAGGAAGGGAGGGAAAATGAACTCACCTGAAGACTTACTTTCTGCATCTGTGATCTCTCTTGACTAACATACGATTGTCTGGAGGTGAAAATAATAATTAAAAAAAAGCTCATTTTATAGAACAAGAGGGTGGTGAGATGCACTAGCTGATGCTGCCTCAGTCTTGCCACTGTCTAAGTTTGTGAATATTGAACATTTCTTTTCTTTTGCTCACCAGGTTTGAGCTAATTCTTGCTGTTATCTGAATGTAGTGGCCTCCTATTGTAAAACTCAATTAACATAACTGAGCTATAATGAGCTGTTGCATGCTATTTTAAAAAAAATTTAGAACTTCGGTATATGATTTGGTTTTGTTTGGATTTATCTTGACCAAACAGATCTGCTCAATCACAGTAGTAGTCTGAAGATGGATTTGTGTATCAGCGGCTGAGTTATCCTTCTTATTTCAAGGTGTTCTCTGCTCAATGGTGTGGATAAGACATCCTGGATTTCCAGACCTGCGTGTTTTCCAAAATTCATTTGGTTTTTAATATCACAGGTCTGGTACCCACAAAGCTTAAACTTACTTTAATGTAAAAAGAGAAACAAGAAATTACTGGGCGTATTTTTGTGTCTGGAGGACACTGCATTGAATAACCACCCTCTGGATTTTTTAAATAATCTTCATTAGAAGGCTGCTGCTGAACGCTGATGAGACATTAAGAAAATTTAGAGAGACTGTGAGCTTCCAAAGTGATGCTTCAAGGATGTTGTAGCTGTAAGGAAGAATTCTTGGCATGATGCTGCTAAGTCCAGTCAGCGAGAAACACTTTATAATAAGACCCAAAACCAAGTCCGCAGTAATGATGCTTTCTCTAGTTCTTTTGGTTAGATCTTCTAGTTTGAATAGTTCAAATTTCATAGTGTGGCAGTTGACCTTATTCTGGCAGTAGCTATGCTGTGTGTAGATAGTCCTATCCTTAACATCTACATGTTTGTTCTCCTGACTGTCTTGACAACCTCAAAACATTTTTGGCTATTTTTATGCTGTAATCATAAGAGATGTGTTTGGTTTCAAGTACAATAGTGTCATGAATACGCACATTAACTTAAATTATTATCTAATAGGCTGTATGAAAAATAGGCAGGAAGTACTACTAGCTCCTGCTTCTGAAAAAGGAAAATTTAATGAGCTCAGCAACTTCAGTATGTAACTTCATACTGTGGGTCTTTTTTCTTCCCTTTGCATATGCCAGCTTGGGATGCCTTACTAAAAGCTGAGATTGTGAGAATCTACAAACTAGTGATTGAAGCAGTTTAAATACTGCAAGAGCAGAAACAAAACCGGAAGAGTTGGTAGAGCTGAAGTTAAGGGCTTACAAGCCTAGGCTAGTCACGTAAAACTCAGCAAAATGTATATAAATGTTTCCCAAATGAACCTTCTTGCAGCTCTTTGAATGTTCAGTGTGTCCCCATTCCACCTGGCATATTGTAGTGGTAGTAAAATAAAAAGTATTAATGTTGATGGCTGAAACTTGGTCTAAATTTGGGTAGGAATGGAGTCACTTAGGGAAAAATAAAGGCAGTGAGGTAAGCTTAACTTCAGTCTTTTTTTGATGTCTTGTATACGTTTACTGTTATGCTAAATGTGTTTAAACAATATTCCACTTGTGAGCTGAAACTTTGTCAACTTGCATGGTCACTTAAGCAACACCTTGCCTTGGCCTGTGTATATGCATGTGTTTTAGCAGAATCCTGATGCCAAGAGAGAATAGTTTGCTGTCACACCGAAAGCCAAATGAGGCATTCAGTACTGTTTGCTCGGTTAGAGTGTCTATATAGTGAAGAATTGGAAATTTTAAATTAATGTTTTTGGACATTGATCAAGATGTGAGAATTACTAGCAATGCTTGTAAATCCGCAACCGTAATACTTGTCCTGGCATTAACAGAAACATCAGCATGCATGCATGTAAAGCACAGGGTGGGGAAATAATGCCCTAAATAGAGCATTTAGGTGCCTAGAGAAGTGTGCTTTGCTTATAATTCACAAATTCAGAAATCTGAAATGTTTTCTTTTTCTGTGAATCAAAACCAACGTGCTGCTGATAGTAGTTGGGCTTGTAATACCATATACCAGTGAAGAAGAGGTGAGCATGGGGAAAAAGCCTTTCTGTATCCTAGATCCCCATCGCTTGCAGAGTGATGAATGTTGATTCATCATTTTAGTAACGGTATGCCACTTTTAAGGCCTTGGTTATTGCTACTAACAAAGTTTCTCTGATGTGTATTTCCCTCCAAGTAAGGTTAAAATGTTACTCTTTTTCCTCTTCACTGCTATTCTCACAGTATGCCTTTTCCATTTTTATTCTGCAGTTTGCCATGTGGGTGGATGCTGTTATATTTGTCTTCAGCTTGGAAGATGAAATTAGCTTCCAGACTGTTTACCACTACTACAGCCGTATGGCTAACTATCGTAACACTAGTGAAATTCCAATGGTACTAGTGGGAACACAGGGTAAGTGCAGTCATGATTTACAAGTATATTTCTGTGACCGCGTAGACTGTTCCAAGCTGGCAAAGCCATGTCCTGTTCTTTCCCCTCTCTTGCATCAGCACTGCCACTCATCTCATAAAGAGAGCTTGTGGATAAACCAGCGGTTAATCAGCAGGGGGGTGGTCTGCCATCCGGGCTTCCTCATCTGGCTTGCTACAGGGCCACAGTGTTGCGAGGACTGGTTTGAGACGAGAGACAAATGTCCATGCAGTATTCTTGGGACAAGGAATGTAGGACTTCAGCAATGATGATTTAGAAGGATATTTTTAAAAAAATGTATTTTTAGTGCTTGCCAGTTGTGGCGGTTTTCTTGATCAGCAGGGAGATGCTGATGTTGAATTTGGGCAGGGGAATCAGTTGTGTAACAAAGTTCTGAAGTGGGGCCGGTCTCCTTTAGCTTGGCAGTCTAGAAGTGATCAATGCCTTGGCATTCCTAGGAGATCAATGCCTTGGCATTCCTAGGAGACAGGTTTTAAAACCTTCAACAGGTTTCCTCTTTTGTGAAGAAACAGAACTGAACTGAGCCCTTGTGCAATCTCTCACCTATATCATTCTTCAAACTATATGGAAATGTAGCTTTTAGCCTCCTGAAACAGCCCCCGACAATTCTGCTTTTCCAAAACCCCTTCTGGAGCAGCAGCTAGCAGCAGCTGTCCTATGAGGAAATGTGGGAAGGGAAGGGTATCAACAATATTTCAGTTTCTTTTGCATCTGAGCTGTCTTTTGGATATTCCCTGCCTTCTTTTGCCAGTGCCTCACATTAATGTTTCAGCAGTTTCCCATACTGCAGTTGGTTTGCTGTATGGAGTAGACACACAAGAGCTAAGGCTGATCTGCACCTAGCCACGTAGATGTTCCTCCTGTGAGAATTCTTACCAAAAATGAGGAGTTCCTGTGTAGGTGCTGGACTTCAGACTTCTTACTTTACAGAGCTGCTGTTTTGGAAGCATAGTATAGACATTTTTGTGAGTGCCTTCATACTGAGGGATTGCTTTCAATATATTGTCAGGTTACTGCACTGTGTTAGAGGGACAACACGAGTGTCAAAAGTTGCTCTTGTAGGTTTGATTTTGGGCGTATTCCCTTTCAGTGTATGCCTCTGGTTTGGGGGATGTTGAACCTCTTCACTGCTTTCTCAGCTTATTCTTTTGGTCAGAGACCAAGTTGCTTTTGCCTGCCTGCTGCAGAGCTGTGACACCAGCGCTGCCACGTGAAGGCAGGGGAAGTGGACAGCACAGAAGGAGGAATTGCAACTGGGCTTTAGGCGGAAACAGATGATAAAGAATTAAAAGGGAAGTAGGTACAGAAAAAGTCCTAGGATAGCAGAAACTCCAGCCAAAAAGCAGAAAATAAACTGTTTTGAAGGGCCACGATGTCAACTTAAAACTGGAGTTGAAAAGAAGAGGGGTAATTGTTTCCCCGAGGTGCTTCCCTTTCTGCACTTCTGACACCTTGGGGTATGGTTTTCCATCTCATTCTACTTATTACCAGAGAGGAATTTGTTTTTCAAAGTTAATTTCCTGTTGTAGCATTGATGCAAAGGGGATTTATTTAAATGTGAGTAAAGATGGAAATACTGCTAATTCTGGGAGTAAGCATCAGACAAAACCAAAGCTTTTTGGCTACATTGACTGTCAAACAACACAGTGAAATGAAATGTATAAATATACCTGTTAAAATTATGTTTGAAGTATAGCTGCTTGACATCCAGCTTGTTGGTTTTGACTGGTATTCTTGAAATGAGCTGTGAAATGAAGTCTCTTCCAAAATGTTAGTGCTTGCCTGATGCTTCCTCTGTCTTGTTGTTCTGCTGTGGGTAGTGGCCCAGGCTGTAGCTCTGAATTTGCTTCAGGAGCCAAGGTTTTTGAAGCCGTGGTGTTGCTTATCAATTCCTTTCTGGTTAAATGTTTTCAGCGCCCTCTGCTGATTAAAAAAAATCTGCCATTGGCTCTCCAAATAACTGGTCTGGTTTTATTAATTTAGATTTTGTGAGAAGGTAGTGATAACATCAGTTGAGATGTGGTCACGTCATGCCCAGAACTGAGCCTCAAGTACAGCACTGCAATAGTCACTGACTTCATGCTCACGTTTGTGATGCTGCGTTTCCAAAGAACGAAGGAAATTACGCTACCATGGAAAGTAGCAGATTCACACATTCTGAGTGGCTCTAAATGCTGAAATTGGCACCTATTGTGGCAGTGAGGTGGTAGCTGCAGAATTTTGTAGAACAGGTTGTACTGCTGTCTCCCAACTTTTTTTGTCACAGCTAAAGATTACTGTGATACTCTGGGGGGGGGGGAGAAGTTGCTTTTTAAGATTTGTTCGTAGTACCATCACTTATAAATAGTCAAACTGTATAGCCTTTGTAGAGCTCTTCACCACGATGGAGTAGCAAGGAAAAAACTTCTTCATTGGTTAACATGATTTACTTTTTCCCCTGATATAAAGTGTTTTTTCAGCTCCTATGGATAGACTCTAGAAATCGGAGTTAAAAAGCATGCATTAAAAAGTAGCTTTTCCAGAGAGTTATAAAGTATTATTATTTGTTGAGAAAAATATAATTTTTATTGCCTTTTGCACTATGTTCACACAATGTCTCCTGGGTGCATTTAAATCAAGGTTTAAGATGGTCATTTAGGATGAGTTTCCTGGATCCAGTCTTGACTGTGACTTGAAAGCTCAGCAGTGCAACCTGTGAATATAGGAAAAATCTCAGTTTTAAACCGGCGAATGTCTCCCTCGACTGAGGCGTAGTGTGTGCTGTGGGTTCGGGGTTAGAGTTTAGCAGAGTGCTTTGCTTCCAGCCCAGCCTTGCTAGCACACTGTTGGCTGGCTGTGCCGAAGCAAAATGCTGAGAGAACTAGCTTAAAAAATGGGAAGGACCAAAAAAAAACACAGATGGGGAACTAAGGGAAGAGCTGGACTGTAGATTTTTAGCTACATGGTAATTGCAGTCCTGTACAGTTTTGTTATTTCTTACACACACACATACACACCCTTGTCTTAGTGTTAACTATTTTTTTGTTGTTGTTTGGTTGGTTTTTTTGTTCGATTGATTTTACGAAAAGCATCTCTTGTGTAAATCTGAACACTTTCCCTGAGTGTTACAGTCATACCTGGTACCATTTCTCCCCCCATCCCATTTCTCTACTGAAAATGTTCTTGTTCTTACAAATATGTCATGTTTCATGCTTCATGCTCTGTAAGTGAAGGTTACTTGTAAGCCACTGCTGATATTTATAGGAAGCCCAAAAATCATTTGACGTGTTTATAATCATTAGCCTTTTGTTTTTCTAAGTATGTCTCATGTCAGAGCTCATGTTCTTTCATGTGATTGTGTATATTTTGCACTTAGTGACTTAAATATATTTTTAAGGTAACCAAAAACCATTTTTGTTGTCTTCCTGGTTTTTTGAATCAATCAGTATGCTGGTGATTTTAGTAACAGTTCAAACTGGAGTGATGCACACCCCTGTTGTTTTCTAAAAGTTCTGAAAGTCTCATGGTGTGTGCTTAAATTCACTGGGATGGTACTGGTAATTACAAGATGATGTTTTCAAATTGTATTTAAATGTGTATTTGTTTCCCTGCCATTGCTGTAGATGCTATAAGTTCCAGTAATCCACGTGTCATAGACGATGCCAGAGCAAGGAAGTTATCAAATGATCTCAAGAGATGCACTTACTACGAAACCTGTGCTACTTATGGACTCAATGTGGAGAGAGTCTTCCAAGACGGTAAAGATTACTTTTTTCATCCAGTGTACCACACAGTACTGTAGCTGGTTTTCTAAAATAACGACCGATGTCTGATAGCTCAGGTACTTGCCTGTTGTGCAAGTATTCATTAAAGTTTAGTTAAATACAATGCTTGTTTTGGGGGATTTATTTTGTAAAACTGTCTGAAGTGAATCAGAGGGCTCATGAGGCTGAACATGGCACGTGCACGGTGTTGTGTTCCCTACCAGCACCTTTAGTCTTAAGTATCTTAAGCTACTTGATTTAGTCTTCATTTATTTTCCAGTTTTCTTTGGTGCTTGGTTTATTTTAGCAAAATTTTCTTTGTTTTGATTTAGTGCTCGTGGAGATGTGGAGAGGCTATTTGTGCAAAGTAGCTGAAAATAGTCTTCCACACTTGAGAAATTCAGAATAACTTGAGAAAATAGATAGGAATAGACTAATCATGAGAAAAAGCATGTGCCATTCATGGAGTGTTGGAAGTTGACAGCCTTGTGTGCAGGTTTAGGAGTAAAGCTGGCTGCTTAAAGGTGGTTTAAAACATCGTTAGCAGCAATGTTTTAATTTCCCTTGTAGAAGGCATTTGGGATCATTGTGTACCATCTCAAAAAAGGAATAAAAAAAGTACTTTCTGACCATGTGTAACTATTTTGGATCAGTTACTCCTTGGAAGAACTTCTGTCCCTGAAGAAGTGATGCTTGCTTGTCTTTGCTGTATGAGATGGGCTTTGTGCACCCTCTAGTGGAAATTCAGCTAGGTGTCTTGGGGCTTTGCTATCTTCTCTTCTTATCGTGGTTGTTTAGCGGCTGAACGTGTCCGCTCTTCATCGCAGTAGTTCTGCGTGTAAAAACCTTCTTAATTATGTTGAAATACTTCTCAGAGCTCCTTAGTTCTGGGGATTTTTTGTTGCCAGCTTTTCATTGCAAAGACCTGCATCGTCTGTGGTTATGTGAGACAGTGTCACATCAGATTTGTACAAAAAAGCTAAAATTTAAAAAGAAAAGTAAAACATTCAAATTTTTAAATGGAAAAAAGAAAAGCAAAAAATTCAAATTTTTAAATGGAAAATAGTGACATGTACTGTGGTAGGTGTTTCTACCCATCCTGTTGGTAGGATTTCAGAGGAACGCATTTGAAGCTGTTATCTTTATGATTTGCTCAGTGTTTTTGCTTGAACGGGTTGCAGAAATTACTGTTTTCACTGCCTAGATTTTCTATTTTGAGCATGAGTTTCAAAGAACCATTAGGGTTTTTGTTAGTACATTTGTTTTTGAAAGCTAGCTATAGTTAGATTTTTAATTATATATTCCAAGTCACAGTGTTTGTGGATCTTTGTATAGTCTAGTACTCCCCCCCCCC